CGCGTCGCAGGCGGGAGTGTCGCTGCCTCGCTCCCGGGAACTTGTGACACTGTGTCGGACGGAAAGAGAGAATGACACTGGCACGAGGGGTTGGCGCTGATTGGTTGCTTGGGTAATGTGAGGCTTTGGTATGACAGATTAGTGACAAACATGGCAGAGGCAACGCGGGAATAATACTTTCGAGATCTAATAAACACCTGTTGCTCTATCCGCGAGTGCAAACTTCGACAGGCAGATGAAACTGATGTCTTTGCGATTGTGAGAGTAACCGACCGATGGAGGAAAGTAGAGTCAAACAAACAATGTAAAATCTTATCTAGTTTGTCTGTTGCGCGCGAATTCCTGCGATGTCAGGGCTGAGAAATATGTCTCTTTTAAATCTGACTTCGGTGACGGAGGGGAGTGTCCCTCCCAACTACACGGTCCTCCTGTCCCTCGTCGACTCGGAGAACCGCACGCTCGACGCCAACGCCACAGGCAGCGACTCCAACATGTCGGCGATAGAGACCAACATCCTGTCCTACCCGACGACGCAGGCCATCTTCTACATCGAGTACATGACCATCTTCCTCCTGGGCGTGTTCGGCAACTGCCTCGTCTGCCACGTCGTCTTTCGCAACAAGGCCATGCAGAACGTCACCAACTTCTTCATCACCAACCTGGCCCTCGCGGACATCCTGCTGTGTGTCCTGGCCGTGCCCTTCACGCCCCTCTACACCTTCATGGAGGAGTGGCTCTTCGGCAGGATCCTGTGCCACCTGGTGACCATGGCGCAGGGCACCAGCGTGTACGTGTCCACGCTGACCCTCATGTCGATCGCCATCGACAGGTTCTTCGTGATCATCTACCCGTTTCGGCCTCGGCTCCGCGTGCCCATCTGCTACCTGATCATCGTGTCCATCTGGCTGTTCTCCATCTCGGCCACGCTGCCCTACGCGCTGTTCGTGCGCCAGGTGGAGTACCAGGACCGCTTCTACTGCGAGGAGCTCTGGCCCTCCGAGTCCATCCGCCAGGTGTTCAGCCTGTTCACCGCCATCATGCAGTTCGTGGTGCCGTTCATCATCATCCTGTACTGCTACGTGAAGATCTCGATCCGCATGAACGAGAGAGTGAAGGCCAAGCCGGGCAGCAAGAGCTCGCGCAAGGAGGAGGCCGACCGCGAGCGGAAACGCCGCACCAACAGGATGCTCATCGCCATGGTCACCATCTTCGGCGTCTCGTGGCTGCCCATGAACGTCGTGCACCTCGTCGGCGACTACTACGCCCCCGCCAGCTCCTGGAACTACTACAACCTTTGTTTTTTCATCACGCACGTCGTGGCGATGTCGTCCACCTGCTACAACCCCTTCCTGTACGCCTGGCTCAACGAAAACTTCCGCAAGGAGTTCCAGCTGGTGCTGCCGTGCTTCCAGCAGACGCCCTCCACCGACCGCGTCGGCCACTGGCGCTCGGAGCGGACCTGCAACGGCAACGACACCCAGCAGGAGACCTTGCTGGCCTCGGGCGCCGCTGCAGGAGGGGCGGGCGCGGGGCGGCCGCCGCTTAGGAGCCAGCAATCCTGCGCCAACGAGAGTCCGACGAGCAAAGCTCAGGCCACGCTGGAGGCCCACCCGCTGACCACCTTCATCGAGGTGCCGTCGCGCCCCAGCGACGGCGCCCGCGACCAAGCCGTCGAACCGCTGGTTAACGGGGAGGCCTCAGAGTACGTGTGAATGTAAGTAGGCTATGGACCTGCGCTCACGTCTGTTCTTCTCTCATACATGCAATTAAGGCGCTGTTCTTATCAGTCTATAATCATAACGACATGTTCTCCTTTGTAACGTCTGTGGACTACATAAAGGACGTGTATGTGCAATTTGCATCTATCCACAGTGTAAACGAGGAGTATCGGGTTCGGATACGGGTATGGCTACATGTGAGATGTAATCAACTGGCGAAAATAGCGTATGAGTCTTATAATATACCCGACCAAAATAAGTTTTCAGAAAGGTTCAAAGGCAACTTCTTTCGTCGAAAACGCAGAGGCTTCCTCGAAAACCTCCCGAAGAAAATTGTCACAATAAACCATTTTCCTCATCAATGAAATTACAGGTTACTTCCGTTCGTCAATAAACGTATTAGACTTTACCATGCGTAATAGCAAGTAACTATATATATATTTATATACATATATATACATACACATATATCCACACATACACACAAACACACATACATACATATATATGCACAAATATATATAAGCATATATGTACACACAAACATACATACCTATATATATATATATATATATATATATATATATATATATATATATATATATATATATATATATATATATATATATATATATATATTTATATATATGTACATACATATAATATATGTATATACATATATATATGTATATATAATAATATATATATATACATATATATATATATATATATATATATATATATATATATATATATATATATATATATATATATATATATAT